TTTTTTTTTTTTTTTTAAACTTCAGCTGTGCTAAACAGTATATTACCTCTGTACAAAATTCTTCAGGGAGTGTCACCTCAAATGCAATACTTTGGGTTGGTTTCTTTCCTTTTTTTAAAAAAAAAATTTGTATAAAACTGGAAGTGTGTGTGTGAGCTTGGGTACCCGGTTGATAGGTGAAGTGCATATGATTGTGGAAAGGGAGAGTCAAGTTGCCCCATTATGTTCATGGTGTAAAGTTTTGAGCTGAAATTTATTATAAGAATGTAAAACCTTAAATTATTAATAAATGACTATTTTGGCTATTGAATGTGTTTTTTTTTTTTTTTTAAATCTCTCTTTAATTGTACCTACCTGTGAAGTGATACTTTTAAGGAATTTTTCAGCGGGGAAGTGAAATTGGCTTGTAAAGTACTATAGGAACAGCAGGGCAAAGTTCCCATCGCCTAAGCAATCCCAGGAATGTTTTTCAGGTGTAGTTTATGACATTAACCGCTTGCTTCAAATAAAGATGACATCATAGAATGAACTGGCTGTATGATGTGTTCCGACAACACTTTATGAATACAACTCTGGCTCATTTAAGAAAATAGGAATGCCCTTGAAGAAAAATGAAGCCGTACAGCACACCTTGCTGAAGTATAAAGTTTGGCTATTCCTGAGTAGTCATAAAGAGGGGGTTCCGGAATAACAAGATAGTCACAGTGTTAACCTCTCTCCTTCCCTGTCAGGGCCTTCTACTCGATAATACACATGCCTGGGAGAACTAGGGATAATTGTTGTGCCAGTTTGTTACTGGGGCACTTCTACCTGCAAGCTATCCGAGTGTCGGAATATCAAGTGAATCGGAAGTGATGTCTCCCCTTTCCTTGCTCCCGCACATGTGGCAGGCATAGCTAAGCTTCTCACCAAGCCTGGATGTGGGCTTTAAAATTTCACACTGACACTTGAGCTAAAACTTTGCCACTCCTGTTCTAATGTGCTTTGTGCTTAGCTGGTTTAGAATGTGGGCCAGACGCTACTACTGAACCTTATGTCGAAGTTATTTTAAACAGTACCTTTCGAGGTAAAGGCTTAATATCCTGTCTTTTTCCTTGGGACATCCCCTCTCCTTGTCCCAAGTGTAAAGATACACAAACCAAAGATAAAAGTAAAGGGTGGGTGTAGGAAATCAAAAGAATTAGAATTTTCAAATGAATTTAGCCCCTTCACCTGCATCGAGGAGAGAGATGAGCTTTTCACCCACAGGTGCGTGTGAGATGCCAGTTGGATCATTTGGTGATCTACGTTATGAGAGGCGAGTGGCTCTGATTTTATGGCAATCGTATCAAACAGTCCAGGGTGACTTCTGGCAACCAAGCATGTTTAGAGGGCAAACAGAAACAGTGCAGAAAAGCACCAACTCAGTCTTTCCCATTTGGGTGCCCCAAGTCAACCAGAGCTTAGAAAGGAGAAGTGGGTTGCAGTTCAACTTGGCTCGTGTTAATCCAGTTCTGAACGGTTTCCGCTCCTGGCATTCCCTAAACTGCCTGTTCAAAGTAGGGATTTGCAAGCAGCGTTAGCAATTTCCTGTCCAGCTGCAGCTCAAGTAGCTGCGTGCTTTTTCTCCCCCTTTCTTTTCTCTGATTTCTTTTCTCTTTCGTTTTTTCCTTTCTTTTTTCTTTACTCTGGACTGTGGATAATTTTAGTGCGTTTCCTCTTTGTGGATTATCATCTCTTTTCCTCCTGGAACCTGCATACATCGAGTCCCCTACTGCTCTGCTCCAGCCGACAGCTGGCCTCCTCAGCACTTCCTCTCGTTTCACTGTGGGTTTGTTGTTTGTCAGTGCACTTCTGAAATTAATAATGTTTTCTGGCCAAGTGCCACAAGCCATTACCACAAAGGGGAAGTAACACATATGAATAGCAGGAAGCCATGCAGGGTCACAGTGTGAGCTGAACCTGTGGAGGGAGCATAATTGAGCCTGGCCCATTCAGCAAGTGTCTGACAGCGATTTGGGGAGAAGGGGCTCCCCGCGTTTAAGCAGCTCAAGCTGTGAGGGGAAAAAAAGAGTCCAATAAATTGGTAGCAAATGGCCTTTGTCATTAGTCTGAATAAAGGAGAGGGAGCAAGAAGTGTTTAGGGCCCCCATAAAGTTGCAGTGTTTGGGATTTCTACCCCCCCTCTCCTGGCATATTGTTTCGTCAGGCTGGTGACAGAGTGGTGCCCGCTTCCCCTCTGTTGCCACAAAAGGACTCCTATTAAATGGGTGGTCTTTACGGTTCACGCAGGCCAGAAGATTCAAAGGGCTGTTCTCTTTCTTTTTCTTCTGTGGAAGGTGGAAGGTTGTAACTGACAGCATGGGCCCCCACCTCGCACTGTGCCTGCCTTTCTCCTGGCTGTACCTCGGTCCCCTCGGCTCCTTTGTGCTTGCAGGGGCTGGTGAAGGCGATCATTTCGCATCTTAGAGTTGGGCTTGCTTCCTGAATGGAGCCCGCACGGTTACTAGGGCAACCTTTGCCAGCAGCTGCGGCTCCCAGGCCTCCCTCCTCACCTGCTGTCCCCATTAGTGGCTTCGTCAGGTCTCTTCCTCAGGAGAAAACGTTACCTTTCCTGGTCTACGAGGGGGTCAGCGGGAGGGTAGGCCGCCTTTCCAGAGATGAGGTTATCTTCAGGGTTCATGGGGGCTGTGCACTGGTTACTGGTCTTAAGATTAAAATCAGACTAAGAAAGGTTTATCTGGGGATAGAAAGATCCGCACAGCCCCCAAAGGAGCGAAAATTGGAGGCTTGCCCCGACCCAGCAATTAGGAGACCTGAACTCTAACTCTTGCTTTCTCACTAATGAACCAGATACTCTGAGCCAGTCACCCAGCCTCCCTAAGTTTCTTCTTCCTTGTCTGTAAAATGAGAGGCTTTACCTTTCATTCTGGGATTCTCTCATAATTTCAGCCTTCTGGTCACGGATTGGTGACACATGTTAGATGATAAAATGAGATGAGGAGCAGGCGAAAACAAGTAACATTTATGAAGGGTATCAGATGCACAATATCATCTCACTTAATGCTCAAAACAGCTCTGTGGGATCGATCCTATTACCATCCTTATTTGTCACTGAAGAAATGGAGGCAGAGAGACGCCTAAAAGTCATCGAATGGCAAGTGGTAGAATGCAGCTTTGAAGCTTTAGCTCTTCTTGTTATAAACTGTTTGTCATCAGTCTTTGCTCGTTTTTACAAGGTGCCCTTGGGTTGGCTAGGAAGTGGTGACCCCGTTTCATAGCTGAGGCAGTGGAGGAAGCAGAGATTAAGTGGCCTGCCAAATTAAACCCAAATTCAACAGTAACATCATGAGAAAGCCACAGGGCCCCAGCTGATGTGTCACCAGAGGGATGTGGTGTCCCGTCTTCTCTCTCCATGGAGAACCTGCCCTATACTGGGTCCACGAGCACATAAATTACAAAACTGATTTTCCTAAGGATCTCTAGGGTGGCTAGCATGTGTCCAGCTGGCCCGCACTCCTGCCCACACACCCTTTTCAGGATTACACAGTGAACTGACCCCAAAGAATTCACTTCCTCACTCTGATCCCTCCTGAAGGAAAGCTGATGTGGGAGGAGAGAGAAAGGGAGGCAGACACAGAGACACAGCTGTAGCTGGCGTTAAGTATTCTTGAAAATTCATCTTAAAAAAAAAAATCATTCTTTGGACATTAAACTGTTTCAAAAGGATTTGGGGGGGGGTACAAATTTAGTTGCAGTTACTCAGTAATAATCATTTTCAAGAAGATCCTGCGGACTTTCAAATACTCTTACTCCTCTTGTGTTCTTATCTCAATTGGCCCTGAATCAGTCCGGTTCTGATGATGGAATCCTCAAACTTCTTTAAAGTTCAAAATTGATCTCCTAAGAGTATTTAAGGGCACAAAACAAAGTTCAAACAATTCACAAATATTTATCCAGGCCTTGATCTGTGTTGCACTGATTCGATGAAACAAGGTTGAAATCAAAGGCAATGGAAGACTTAACGAGCCCTCAAAGGCTGAAGGCAATGTCATATTTCGAAGTTTGACCACTTGATCTTTCTGCTAGTGTCCCAAATCAAAGCAGACCCCCAAGGAACTGTCAGGCAGGTCCTTGTATGTCCCTACAGGCTGCAATAGTCAAAATTACATTTTAGGCATGATATTTTATATACGAA